TTGGCAGAAAGAACATCTGTGAAATGATATTAATTATGGCTTTTAATTCAGATTCTTTGCCTTTCTCATGTGTATACACAGTCACACACATACATGTGTATTGATTGATATATGAATATGAAAATATTCAGTTGTTTATGAGCATCATAGATGTAGTAAGAATGGAAATCCCCCACTCTTACTCCTTCTATGCAGGGTGTGTTGATCCTCATACAGGCACTTTTAACTCTGAAGTTTGTAAATATAACATTGGATTTTCCCTTTAAGGCTAAGTCAGTTCAAATGTGTAACTATCAAGGGACTGAGATGTTAAGGGATGAACATACACATATATAGCAGCATCAGATGGTTTTTGACCAACACCCTTTTCTTGGACCAGGCGGCACTCAGCTCACTGTTTTCATATCCTGGAAGTAGGCATTACACAGGGTAAGGTGGGAGGGGAGAGAGTGCCAATATGCTTTTGTTGTTAGGAGTAGACACATGGAGAGAGGCTTTGAGCAAATACTAATTGGTTGGAGCATTCATTCCCAGAACTATAGATTAGATTTCAATCATTCAGCTAAAAGACATTAATTAATTTGCTTTTTCTTGTGCAATGTGTATTTGCTAATTTCTAAGATGATAATTCAGTGTAGCCTTTCATAGGGAATGTAAATATTGATGTTTTCAATGACCTAATGGAATCACCGGAAGTGGCACCAGTCATGTTACATTATCAAAGGGCAGGAAGAAGCAGCTGGAAATGAGTTCCTTATATTTTCAGAGTGCTGTTGCTTCTCACTTGCCTTCACTGCTTTTCAGAAAGAGAATATAATTAACTTTCCTCAGGTCCAAAGGGAAGTAGTTATCATGTTTCAAAAAATACTTTAGATGTCTAAGTAGTCCAGATGAACCCACTACCATGTTGAGAGAAGATGTTTTTCAAGTTTCGGGACAGGCAAGTAAGGATAGAAACTGACCATCTGTGGGGCTTGGGGTAAGGATAAACAGTAGATCCCTGAAAAGTTATCTCTTTATAAGTGATGATATTTATGTTTAAACCTATTGCATCAATAGACCTTCTTACACACAGAATAATGACTTTTTTCTTTCAGAAAAGTAATCTAGTATTGACAACCTTTTATATGTGTTGAAAATGTATAAATCATTTCATAGTTAACACTCTGTTATTTGTTATCATAATGCATCTTTTATTCAAAGATTTGAAATCATATTGAAAAGACTAAAATTACTTGTATATCATTAAACCCCATGCTACTTATTAATTTATATCTGTACTATAAGGGAAACACAATATAAATAAACAGGACCGTTATCTTACATGTTAAGTAATAATCACTTCAGAATATAGCACATTGCCTTTCCAGTATATAATTCCCCTTCCCAGCTTAAGGGTATTCACATTCCCCCCAGTTTTCCTATTTGTCACTGTCTTATGAAAACTTAAAAGTCTATCTGTTTATACTTTGTGAAGGAGAAAGAAATAAAGATTCCTTTCTTTGGGGCAATTAAAAATTTTAAGTTTATTTATTTCATGTTATGTGTATGAGTGCTTTGTATACATATATATGTTTGTGTACCATGTGTGTGCCAGGATACCCTGGAACTGGAGTTATGGATGGCTAGGAGCCATTGTGAGGGTGCTGGAAACCAACCCAGGATTCTGTGCAGGAGCAACAAGCACTCTTAACCACTGAGCCATCTCTCCAGCCCATCTTGTGACAATTTTAAAGGCAAGAAGCAGATCTGTTATACTGTTTTATTATGCAGATTCTTTCATTTCCATAACTAAAAATTAGTTAAAGTTATTTACAGTGTTAGCTGCTAATATTCTTGCTCTGTTACATTGTGGAGAAAAGAAAGAAGAAATGATGGGCAGGTAACATAACAAAAGTTGATTGCATTTCTTGGCTACAAAATGTATTCATTCTGATAATAAGCTTATTTTTAGTATGAATGCTTTCTATATGAAGTTACATTATAGTAACTACTTTAGGTATTCAAGTAAATTTCAAAGTGTGTCCTAGTTGCACAGCAATCAGTTATAAGTACATGTGTTTGTATAAATATTTGTCTGTGTGTAGACATACACATTTTTAGTTTTCTTTTTAAAAGCTTTGCTTTTTCATTTTATTATTTTGTTTTGTGTAGGTTACATGTATGCCTACATGTATGTCTATGCACCATGTGCATGCAGTGCCTGTGGAGGCCAGAAGAGGGCATTAAATCTCCTGGAACTGGAGTTTCAGATGGTTGTGAGTCATGTGGGTGCTGGAGATCAAACCCATGTTCTCTAGGAGAGCTGTCAGTGCTCTTAGCCACTGAGCCATCTCTCTAGCTCTGAGTTCTTGGTTTTCTTAATGAATTTTTTAGAAAGAAAAAAAATTAAATGTAATGTTGAATACAAACCAATGAGAACAGATGCTTCTGTAGTGGTACATTCATGAAATAAAAATCCATAAGCCTGACAGAAGGAACGTGGTGACAATTCTTAAGTAAAAGGAAAGACTTTTTTATGTAAATAATCAGCGTTAATTTCTTTGTCTACGTGCAAATTGTACAACTGTGTGCAGACTGTGGATTGTTAACAAAGTGGATACCAGCAGGGACTCAGAATCAGCTCACAGACTGAATTAGTTAGGTTCTCCATTATTTTATTTTACATTGTGGGTTAACAGATTGAGGAAGGCATTTTCAGCATGTCCTATTATTTGTTTGTGGGAAACTGTGTTGAACATAGAGATAAATCAATTTGACAGCACCAGCATTATTTACCTCATACTTGGTCTTAGCTCTAGGGCTGAGAAGTGGTAGATGTAATTACTCTATTTGGTTGGTTTTTTTCCCCCTTTAACCATGGGAGTCCTAGGGATCAAACTCAGGTTGCTGGGCTTGTTCCTGGGCAAGTGCCTTTGTCTGCTGAGTCGTCTCACCAGTCCTTCTATTAGATTTTAAAGAACTGATGGGGTTGCACAGAACAAAATATTTGTTTTTCTTGGTGTTTTTTTCTACTACTATAGGACTTCCTCACAATTTCTCTATTTTATAACAGAAAAATTTTTGAAATTTTTATTTATTCCTATTTATAAAGTATACTTAAAATTTTTTATGTCTGCTGCTAGAGATCCTCATGTTTTCAATGAAATTATATATGGACAACAATTTAATAGTCTTTAAATTCTTATTATATTTCTTTCCTTTGTTGATTTCTCAGTTCTTAATCATTCATTTGTTAAATTTGTTGACATCAGTGGACTATAATACCTTGTTTGATTCTGAAAATATAAATATGAATTAAATATGTCCATTAAAAGTTGTGTTATTTAATGGATGTTTGAGTACAGTAACGGATTTTCATACTCCTGTGATATTAAAGTGGCAAAGCAGGTGGATTCCCATAATAAATATATTCTTACCTCAGGCTTATCATTTTTCTAATTCCATTTTATAGAAACCTTTAATGGTAGTTACTTATCTTCTCAAAGAAAAGAGATGAGTTTTGCTGAGGAAGGTAAATCTGTAGGCAGATTTGATGGGGTGGGAGGGGTGAGAACACCTCAGAAAACAGAGGGTTGCTGGAACATAAACTTTAAAATAGCAAGCAGGAAATAAGTAACCTAAGAGAATGGGGCTAGCAAAGACCAGCCAAGACTCAGGTATAAGGCCATTGGTCTTTTCCTCTGTGAAATTAATCATCATCGTCTCCAGATTATGATGCACTCGACATTTCTACCAAATCCTGTATGGTTCTAAGGTTTTATCATGGCTGAGGAAAAGGTCTCAGAGACCACCCTTACAAGCAAGCTTATCTTGTATTATTTTTCTTGTAGCAGAAAAAGTTACCTTGAGCCGTGTCTAATGACACTCCAGTGAAAAATGGGGGAAGAGGTAGAAAAAGTGAACAGGGGGAAATTTGATACATCAAATTTTCCCATCACCCTACCCACTAAGTAGTCTCTTGTGATGTCTGGAAGTTTAGTCTAAAGAGGAATTTTAACAAATGCTACAGGTTCATTCACATTAGATCTGACAAGGATGAAGGTGAGCTTTCCTAAGGATAGAGGGTTGAATTTAATATTGGTACTTCAGTGTGAGATTCCCAGTAGGATTATGTTACACCAGGATGGCTACAACTGCACCCACATTTCTAAATTATGTATGTATATAAACACACACACATACATATGTATGTTCTGAAACAAAGACATTTTTATACATGTTTTTCAATTGTGTTCCATGAATTATAGTGTGTTTGCATGAACTGTTCCAAGAACCAAAATAATTGTTACAGATAGGGTAAGCTACTTATAAACAATCAACAGAACTTAGACATCACAGGCCTTCAAATTATACTACTTTTTAAGTGTATATCTAGCTTTAGAGAGGACTTTAATGTTTTTCTAAATCAGTTTCCTTAGTATAAATAGGTCTAATCCATTGTCTCAGCATAATTTAATCATTTTACATTTTAAAATATACATAATCTCATTCTAAATTAACTATATGAATAAAGTATGCATATATATATATCATAATGTAATTTCATATGCAAGAAGTCTCTGTGAATCAAAGACTTTCATCCCAAATGCATTAGTTTAAGGAAGCAATTAACACATTAGCAAAACTGGATTAAAAAATAGGGATGTGATATCACATTTCTGTTATCTTTATTGCTTGTATGGCCTCTATAAGGGTGATGGTGGGCAAGGTTCTGATTATCTGTAATATCCCATGTGTCTGTATTAAGATAGCATAAATACAGCCTTTATTATGGAATTTGAAGGATGACTTGAGTTAACAAAGCGAATGTTCCACGTTACAGAGATGAATTTATTTCATAACATATCTGACTAAACCAAGTGTCTGACTAACAAAAGTGGAAGGATGAGAATAACAAGTTGCCAGATCCTCCTAAATATAAAGATCTGTGTTAAACTCCTTTCTGATATTACATTGCTAATCTAAACTAACATTAACCTTTTCTCTCTTAGCAAGAGATGTTCCAGGATCTGACCAATTCCAACAGCTCTAGATTCCAAGTGTCAGAGTTTATTTTGATGGGATTTCCAGGCATCCACAGCTGGCAGCACTGGCTCTCCCTGCCATTGGCTCTGCTCTATGTCTTGGCTCTCATTGCCAACATACTTATCATTACCATAATCTACCAGGAAGTGTCACTACACCAGCCTATGTACCATTTCCTGGGCATCCTTGCTATAGTAGACATGGGCTTGGCGACCACCATCATGCCTAAGATTTTAGCCATCTTATGGTTCAATGCTAAGACTATCAGCCTCCCAGAGTGCTTTGCTCAGATGTATGCCATTCATTGCTTTGTTGCCATGGAGTCAGGTATCTTTGTCTGCATGGCTATAGATAGATATGTAGCTATTTGCAGACCACTGAGATACCCTTCAATAGTCACTGAATCTTTTGTGATCAAAGCAACTTTGTTTATGGTAATCAGAAACTGTGGGACTCCCATGTCAGTACCTGTGTTGGCCGCTCAGAGAAATTACTGTTCCCAGAATCAAATCGATCACTGCCTGTGCTCTAACCTGGGGGTCACTAGCCTGTCCTGTGATGACAGGAGAATCAACAGCATCAACCAGCTGGTCCTGGCTTGGGCAATCATGGGAGGTGACCTGGGTTTGATTATGATTTCATATGCTTTGATTCTTCGGTCTGTGCTGAAGCTGAACTCTGCAGAAGCTGCATCCAAGGCCTTAAGTACCTGTACTTCTCACCTCATCCTAATCCTTTTCTTCTACACTGTCATTGTTGTCCTTTCCATCACTCACAGTGCAGGAATGAAAATTCCCCTCATCCCGGTTCTGCTGAACGTGCTGCACAATGTTATTCCCCCTGCTCTGAACCCCATGGTTTATGCACTCAAGAACAAAGAACTCAGGCATGGCTTATACAGAGTGATTGGCCTGGAACTGAACAGTAACTATGAGTGAGAAAATACTCCTTTTTAACTTTCTGCACAACTACCCTTTATATTCTCCAATGATGGTAAGTGTTAAAAAGGTAAATACTATGGACACAATAGGAGGTGTGACTTAGCATCAGGAACCAACTAAATTCAGAACAACAATAACAACAACAAAAATCACAATATTACTTGAAGTCTCTAGATGCTGAAAATCTTCAGTACAAAGAGTAACATAATGATGCTATCTTTGTTCAAGAATCCAAAGGAAGGACTTGAAAGATACACATATCAATAATTTGTCTGTGTTCCTGGCTAGAATACCCAGATAATTTTGAATATATTGGCAGAGATCTTTGCCAATTATCCTTTTAAATTGGAAAGTTCATCTCTTTATTTAATTCAATTGGGGGTGGGGACATGAGTTATTTCTACCATTTGCTGCTTGTGTTTTTTTTTTTTTTTTCAGGTAGCATCTTTTTTTACTGAGAAAAGTGGCTTGAATATAGATTTCCCTAAAAAGATATGCAATTACCCCCCAAAAAACAACTGATAAAATGTTCCACACCATTAGTTACTAAACAGTAGGCACAATCCAATAAAACCACAACAGCTTACCAAATACAGCTTCTAAGATAGGCATTCATAAATACACAAGAAGTCATACAGTATTTTCTTTTTCATGGATATGGGGATCCTTTCATACTATTGTTGGAATGTGAACAAAATTTTGTATTTGCCCAGGAAATTAAGCAATTTCAATTGCCACAAGACACAGTAATTAAGTAGTAAGTGTCAATATACATTCATCATATCCCAAAAGAAGGATTTGAACAAAAACTTGTGTGTGAATAATTTTTAGCATTTCTTGTTAAAAAGTAAACAATGTATATACCTTTTAAATGTTTTAATATGGATACATAAATGTGGATACATGAAATAAAGTTTATTCTGAGAAGGGGTTAAGGGAAAGGGGCCAGTGGGATGGCTTAGTGGGTAGAGACGACACTTGTTGCCAAGCCTGGGGAACCGAGTTCGATTACCAGGACCCATATGGTGGAAGAACAGAAATGACTAAGGCAAGATGTCTTAGGGCTTCCACTTGTGCCCTCTCCCATGAAGAGATAAATATAATTTTTAAGTTAGAAAAGAAACCCTGTGATAACAGCATCCATTTCATTATCATCATCATTTTAGTATCTGATGATGTATCCAATAACATGATATAAACTTCAAAATGCAGAATAAAATTGACTCTCTTAAAAATTCAGAAAAATTGTTTTTATTCATCTATTTACTTTGCATCCCAGTCGCAGCCTCCCCCCACCCATGCTTCCCTCCCAGTCCCTCTCACCTTTTCCTCCCTCTCCCACCCCAAATCCCTCCTCTTATGTCTCCATCCAGGAAAGGGCAGGTCTCCTATGAGTATCAATAAAACATAGCTTATCAAGTTGCAGTAAGACTAAGCACCTCCCCGTATATTAAGGCTGGGCAAGGCTGACCAGTATGAGGAGTAGGCTCCCCAAAGCCCCTGTTCCCACTGTTAGGAGTCCCACAAGTTGACCAAGCTACACAACTGTAGCATATATGCAGAGTGCCTAGGCTAGCCACATGCAGGCTCCCTTGTCTGTTCAGTCTCTGTGAGCCCCTGTGAGAGCTCAGGTTAGTTGGTTTTGTGAGCTTTCCCATGGTGTTCTTGACCCTCCTGACTCCTACAACTCCTCTCTTGTTCCTCCTCCTCCTCCTCCTCCTCCTCCTCCTCCTCCTCCTCCTCCTCCTCCTCCTCCTCCTCTTCCTCCTCCTCCTCCTCCACAGAATTCCCAAACTCCATCTAATGTTTGGCTGTAGTTCTCTGCATATGCCTACATCAGTTGCTGGATGATGCCTCTATCGTGACAATTGGGCCAGGCACCAATATGGTTACAGGAAACTGGCCAGTTCAGGCTGCTTATCCACTATTGCTAGGAGTCTAAGCTGGGGCCCTCCCCATAGACTCCTGTGATATTCCCCTGTGCCAGGCTTCCTACCAATGCTGAAATGTACCCCAGCAGTCCCCCTCAGCACTTTTCCCCTCCATTCCTTCCGCAACCTGATCACTCATATTCTTATCCCTCCCTGCCCTGTCCACTCATGCAATCTCTTCTATTTCCCCTTTTCAGAGCGACCTGGATGTCCCCTCCCCCCCATGAACTCTCTCTCCTTGCTACCTAGTCTCACTGGGTCTGTGGATTGTAGCATAGATATCCTTTATTTTACAGTTAATATCCACTTATGAGTGAATACATACCATGTTTGTCTTTCTCAGTCTGGGTTACCTCTCTCAGGATGATTTTTCCTAGTTCCATCCATTTGTCTTCAAATTTCCTGGTGTCCTTGTTTTGAACAGCTGAGTAATACTCCATTGTGTATATATACTACATTTTCTTTATCCATTTATTGGTGGAAGGACATCTAGATTGTTTCCATGTTCTGTCTATTTCAAATAAAGCTGCTATAAACATAGTTGAGTAAGTATCCTTGTGGTATGATTGATCATCCTTTGGGTATATGTCCAAGAGCAATATAGCTGGGTATTGTGGTAGGTTGATTCCCAGTTTTCTGAGAAACCACCACACTGACTTCCAAAGTGGCTATACAAGTTTGCACTCCTACCAACAATGGAGGAGTGTTCCCCTTGATCCACATCCTCTCCAGCATGAGCTGTCACTTGTGTTTTTGATCTTAGCCATTCTGACAGGTGTAAGATGGAATCTCAGAGTTGTTTTGATTTGCATTTCCTTGATGGCTAGGGATGTTGAACATCTCCTTAAGTGTTTCTCAGCCATTTGTGATTCTTTTGTTGAGAATTCTTTTTATGTCTCTACTTCATTTTTTAATTGGATTATTTGGTTTGCTGATATCTAGTTTTTTTAGTTCTTTATATATTTCAGAAATCAGTCTTCTGTCGGATGTTCAGTTGGTAAAGATCTTTTCCCGTTATGTAGGCTGCCATTTTGTTCTAATGATGGTGTCCTTTGCCTTACAGAAACTTTTCAATTTCATGAAGTCCCATTTATTAATTGTCTGTCTTAATGCCTATGCTATTGGTGTTTTGCTCAGGAAGTTGTCTCCTGTGCCAATGCGTTCGAGATTATTTTCCATTTTCTCTGCTATCAGCTTCGGTGTATCTGGATTTATGCTGAGGTCTTTGATCTACTTGGATTTGAGTTTTGTGCAGGGTGAAAAATATGGATCTATTTGCATTCTTCTACATGCTGACATACAGTTAGACCAGCACCATTTGTTGAAGATGCTTTCATTTTTCTATTGTACAATTTTGGCTTCTTTGTCAAAAATCAGGTGTCCATAGTTTTGTGGGCTTACATCTGGGTCTTCAATTCGATTCCATTGATCCATGTGCCTGTTTTTATGCTAATACCATGCTGTTTTTATTACTATAGATCTGTAGTAGAGCTTAAGATCAGGGATGGTGATACTTCCAGAAGTTCATTTATTGTACAGGATTGTTTCAGCTATTTTGAATTTTTTGTTTTTCCATATGAAGTTGAGTAATGTTCTTTCAAGGTCTGTAAAGAATTATATTCGGATTTTAATGGGGATTGCATTGAATTTGTAGATTGCTTTTGATAAGATGACCATTTTTACTATGTTAATCCTACCAATCCCTGAGCACAGGATAGCTTTCCATCTTCTGATATCTTTATCAATTTCTTTCTTCAAAGACTTGAAGTTCTTGTGATACAGGTATTTCACTTGCTTGGTTAGAGTTACACCAAGATATTTTATATTATTTGGGCTATTGTAAAGGGTGTAGATTCTCTGATTTCTTTCTCAGCCCATTTATTGTTTGAATATAGGAGGGCTACTTTTTTTTTTTTTTTTAGTTAATCTTGTATCCAGTCACTTGACTAGAGGTGTTTATCAGTTGTAGGAGTTACCTGGTAGAGTTTTGGGGGGTCACTTATGTATACTATCATATCATCTGCGAATAATGATGTTTTGACTTCTTCCTTTCCAGTTTGTATCCCTTTGGTTTTCTTTAGTTGTCTTATTTCTCAAGCTACGACTTCAAGTGCTATATTGAGTAGGCATGGAGAGAGTGGACAATGTTATTTTGTTCCTGATTTTAGTGGAATTGCTTTGAGTTTCTCTCCATTTAATTTGTTGTTGGCAATCAGCTTGCTGTATATTGCTTTTATTATATTTAGATATGTCCCTTGTATTTCTGATATCTCTAAGACTTATCATGAAGAGGTGTTGGATTTTGTCAAAGGCTTTTTTAGCATCTAACAAGATGATTATGTGTTTTTTTTTCTTTCAGTTTGTTTATATAGTGGATTACATTGACTGATTTTCATATGTTGAACCATCCCTGCATCTCTGAGATGAAGCCTACTTGACTACACTGGATAATCTTTTTGATGTGTTCATGGATTCAGTTTGCTGTACTTTATTAAATATTTTTGCATAAATGTTTATGAGTGAAATTGGTCTGTAATTCTCTTTCTTTGTTGCATCTTTGTATGGTTTGGGTATCAGGGTGACTGTGACGTCATAGAAAGAATTTGGCAATGTTCCTTCTGTTTCTATTTTGTGGAATAATTTGAAGAGTATTGGTATTAGCTCATCCTTGAAAGTCTTCAGTAAAATTGTCTGGTCCTGGGCCTTTTTTTTTTGGTTGGGAAATTTTTAATGACTATTTCTATTTCATTAGGGGTTATCAGTCTATTTAAATTGTTTATCTGATCTTGGTTTAACTTAGATAAGTGTATCTATCAAGAAATTTTCCATTTCTTTTAGATTTTCCAATTTTGTGGAGTACAGGTTTTGAAGTATAACCTAATGATTCTCTGGATTTTCTCAATGTCTTTTGCTATGCCCCCTCTTTCCTTTCTGATTCTGTAGCTTTTTGTTTCTGATTTTGTTGATTTGGATATTCTCTCCCTGTCTTTTTGTTAGTTTGGATAAGGGTTTATCTATTTTGTTGATTTTTCTCAAAGAATCAACTCTTTGTTTTATTGATTCTTT